CACCTGAGGTTAGGAGTTCAAGACCAGCCCGACAAACTTAGAGAAACCCTGTTTCTACTAAAAATACAAAATTAGCTGGGCATGGTGGTGCATGCTTGTAAATCCCAGCTACTTGGGAGGCTGAGGCAGAAGAATCACTTGAACCCAGGAGGTGGAGGTTCCGGTGAGCGAAGATCACACCATTGCACTCCAGCCTGGGCAACAAGAGTGAACCTCCGTCTCAAAAAAAAAAAAAAAAGAAAGAAAAAAGAAAAAGAAATACCCGAGGCTGGGTAATTTATAAAGAAAATATGTTTAATTGGATCACAGTTCTGCAGACTATACCAGCATGGCTCCAGCCTCTCCTTCTGGTGAGGGCCTCAGGAACCTTATACTCACGGCAGAAGGCAAAGGAGGAGCCAGTGTTTCATATGGTGAGAGCAGGAGGAGGTACCACATATTTTTAAACCACCAGATCTCACAAGAACTCATTGTCACAAGGACAGCACCAAGCCATGAGGGGCCTGCCCTCATGACCCTATGCTTGCCTCCACACCGCACCTCCAACATTGGGATTACATTTCAACATGAGATTTGGAGGGGACAAATATCCAAACCATATCAATAAACAATGCATTGAATCTGTAGATCACTTTGAGTAGTATTGACACATTAACTATATTAAGTGTTCCAATCCATGAACATGGAATGTGTTTTCATTTATTTATTTATATCTTCTATAATTTCTTTCAGCAATGTTTGTAGTTTTTAGTTTATAGGTCTTTCCCTTTCACGGTTAATTCCTACATATTTTATTCTTTTTGATGCTAGTATAAATATAATTGTTTTTAAATTTCCTTTTCAATTGGTTCATTTTTAATGTATAGAAATGAAACTTATTTTTGCACGTTTTATATTCTGCATCTTTGCTAAATTCATTTATTAGTTTTTACAGAGTTTTTAAAATGTGGAATCTCTAGGGGTTTCTGTGTTAAGATCATGTCTGCAAACAGATAATTTTACTTCATCCTTTCCGATTTCAGTGCCTTTTCTTTCTTTTTTTTCTTGCCTAATTGCTCTGGCTAGAACTTCCGTTAGTGCTGAATGGAAATGGTGAAAGCAGGCATGTCTTGTTCCTGATCTTGAAAGAAAGGCTTTTAGGCTTTTAGTCTGTAATCATTCAGTATGGTGTTAATTATGTTTTTTTTTAATATATTGCCTTTATTATGTTGAGGTAGTTTCCATTCCTAGTTTGTTGATTGTTCTTATCGTAAAAGAGTGTTGAATTTTGTCAAATTCTTTTTCTGCAGCAAATGAGATGATCATGTGGTTTTTGTCCTTTATTCTTTTAATGTGGTGTATTACAATGATCCATTTTTATATGTTGAATCATGCTTGTATTCCAGGAATAAATCCAACTTTGTCATAGTGCATAATCCTTTAATATGCTGCTGAATTCAGTGTGCTGGTATTTTGTCGAGCATTTTTGCATCCATGTTCATAAGGGATACTGGTTTGTATTTTTCTTCTCTTGTGGTGTCCTTGTCTGGCTTTGGTATTAGGGCAATGTTGGCTTCATAGAATGAGTTAAAAATTGTTTCCTCGACCAGCCCAGCCAACATGGTGAAACCTTGTCTCTGCTAAAAATAAAAAACTTAGCCAGGTGTGGTAGTACATACTTATAATCCCAACTCCTCAGGAAGTGAGGCAGGAGAATCGCTTGAAACTGGGAGGCAGAGATTGCAGTGAGCTGAGATCACACCACTGCACTCCAGCCTGGGCAACAGAGCAAGACTCTGTCTCAAAAAAATAAAAAAAGAAAAAAAAAATGTTTCCTCCTCTTCAGTTTCTTAGAAGAATTTGAGAAGGATTTATACTAGCTTAACTTTAGTAGCATATAGAAACTCTACTTCTAGGCCAGGCGCGGTGGCTCACACCTGTAATCCCAGCACTTTGGAAGGCCATGGTATGCGAATCACCTGAAGTCAGGAGTTCAAGACCAACCTGGCCAACGTGGCGAAACCCCGTCTCTACTAAAAATACAAAAATGAGCTAGGTGTCATCGTGCACACCTGTAATCCCAGCTACTTGGGAGGCTGAGGCACGAGAATCGCTTGAACCTAAGAGGCAGAGGTCGCAGTGAGCCAAGATGTGCCACTGCACTCTAGCCTGGGTGACAGAGTGAGATTCTGTCTCAAAAATAAATAAATGAATAAATAAAATAAAGAAACTCTACTTCTATACAGCTTCATCTCAACCCCTTTAATTTATTAATTGCTACAAGATTCTAGTTTTATGTAGTGTGTGTCCAAAAACATAGACTAATAATTGTTTTTTTAAGCATTATTCTCTTAAGGCATGTGAAAACAAAAACTGGAGTTACAAACCAAAGTTACAATAATAGTAGCTTTTATAATTTCAAGACCAACCTGGCCAACATGGCGAAACCACATTTTTAAAATGTGGAATCTCTAGGGGTTTCTGTGTTAAGATCATGTTGTCTGCAAACAGATAATTTTACTTCATCCTTTCCGATTTCAGTGCCTTTTCTTTTTTTTTTTTTTTCTTGCCTAATTGCTCTGGCTAGAACTTCCGTTAGTGCTGAATGGAAATGGTGAAAGCAGGCATGTCTTGTTCCTAATCTTAGAAGAAAGGCTTTATCCTTGCTGGAGATATTTCTTCACATGGTTTTGATCTACTGTCTCACATCCTTTCATTTCAACCTATAGGACTCCCTTTAGCATTTCTTGCAGAGTTAGTCTAGTGGTAATAAGCTCTCTCAGCTTTTATTTATTCTGAAATATTTTAATTGCTCCCTCATTTTTGATGGACAGTTTTGCCAGATATAAGAATCTTGGTTGGCCATTTTATTTCTTGCAGCACTTTGAATATATCAGCCCACTGCCTCCTGGCCTCCAAGACTTCTGATGAGAAATATGCTGATAATTTTTTTGAGCACCCTTTAGTGTGATGAATGATTTCTGTTTTGCTGATTTTAAGATTCTCTCTGTGTTTGGTGTTTGACAAATTCTTTTATTTTTTTAAATTTTATTTAGGAGAATGTGTCTCATTGTGGGTTTGCTTGTCTCTCTCTTCTCCTTCTGTAACTCACAAACTGCATATGTTTGTCTGCTTTATGGTGTCTTACAGATCTCACAGGCTCTGTTCACTTTTCTTTTTTTTTTTTTTTTTTTTTTGAGACGGAGTCTCGCTCTGTCGCCGGGGCTGGAGCGCAGTGGCCGGATCTCAGCTCACTGCAAGCTCCGCCTCCCGGGTTTACGCCATTCTCCTGCCTCAGCCTCCTGTGTAGCTGGGACTACAGGCGCCCGCCACCTCGCCCGGCTAGTTTTTTGTATTTTTTTAGTAGAGACGGGGTTTCACCGTGTTCGCCAGGATGGTCTCGATCTCCTGACCTCGTGATCCACCCGTCTCAGCCTCCCAAAGTGCTGGGATTACAGGCTTGAGCCACCGCGCCCGGCCTCACTTTTCTTTAATATTTTTTCTTTCTTGTTCCTCAGGCGATAATTTTTTTTATTTATTTTTTATTATTATACTTTTAAGTTCTAGGGTACATGTGCATAACGTGCAGGTTTGTTACATATGTATACATGTGCCATGTTGGTGTGCTGCACCCATCAACTCGTCAGCACCCATCAACTCATCATTTACATCAGGCATAACTCCCAATGCCATCCCTCCCCCCTCCCCCATCCCCATAATAGGCCCCAGTGTGTGATGTTCCCCTTCCCGAGTCCAAGTGATCTCATTGTTCAATTCCCACCTAGGAGTGAGAACATGCAGTGTTTGGTTTTCTGTTCTTGCGATAGTTTGCTGAGAATGATGGTTTCCAGCTGCATCCATGTCCCTACAAAGGACACAAACTCATCCTTTTTTATGGCTGCATAGTATTCCATGGTGTATATGTGCCACATTTTCTTAATCCAGTCTGTCACTGATGGACATTTGGGTTGATTCCAAGTCTTTGCTATTGTGAATAGTGCCACAATAAACATACGTGTGCATGTGTCTTTATAGCAGCATGATTTATAATCCTTTGGGTATATACCCAGTAATGGGATGGCTGGGTCATATGGTATTTCTAGTTTCAGATCCTTGAGGAATTGCCATACTGTTTTCCACAATGGTTGAACTAGTTTACAATCCCACCAACAGTGTAAAAGTGTTCCTATTTCTCCACATCCTCTCCAGCACCTGTTGTTTCCTGGCTTTTTAATGATTGCCATTCTAACTGGAGTGAGATGGTATCTCATTGTGGTTTTGATTTGCATTTCTCCGATGGTGAGTGATGATGAGCATTTTTTCATGCGTTTGTTGGCTGTATGAATGTCTTCTTTTGAGAAGTGTCTGTTCATATCCTTTGCCCACTTTTTGATGGGGTTGTTTTTTTCTTGTACATTTGATTGAGTTCTTTGTAGGTTCTGGATATTAGCCCTTTGTCAGATGAGTAGATTTCAAAAATTTTCTCCCATTCTGTAGGTTGCCTGTTCACTCTGATGGTAGTTTCTTTAGCTGTGCAGAAGCTCTTTAGTTTAATTAGATCCCATTTGTCAATTTTGGCTTTTGTTGCCATTGCTTTTGGTGTTTTGGACATGAAGTCCTTGCCCATGTCAGGCAATAATTTCAATTGTACTTTTCTTCACATTCACTGATTTTCTCTTCTGCTTGTTCAAATATGCTTTTGAATCCCTCTAATAAAATTTTCATTTCAGTTATTGTACTTCTCAGCTCCAAAAAAAAAAAAATTTGTTTTTTCTGAGAGAGTCTCACTCTATGCCCAGGCTAGAATGCAGTGGCTCAATCTCAGCTCACTGTAACCTCTACCTCCCAGGTTCAAGCAGTTCTTGGGCCTCAGCCTCCCAAATAGATGGGACTATAGGGCTGCACCACCACACCCAGATAATTTTTATATTTTTAGTAGAGACAGGGTTTCCCCGTGTTGGCCAGGTTGGTCTCAAACTCCTAACCTCAGGTGATCTGCCCACCTCAGCCTCCCAAAGTGCTGGGATTACAGGCATGAGCCACCATGCCTGGCTCAAAATTTCTTTTTTGTTCCTTTTATGTTTTCTATTTCTTTACTAATAATTCCATATTGTTCATACATCATTTTCTTGACTTTGTCCACCTCTTCCTTTAGGTCTTAGAACATCTTTAAGACAGTTGTCTTTGTCTAGGAAAAAGTTTTCTACTGCTTGGTCTTTCTCAGAGACTATGTCTGGTGAGTTAATTTTTTCCTTTGAATTAGCTATACTTTCCTGTTTCTTTTTATGCCTTGTAATTTTTGTTGAAAACTGGACATTTGAATTTTATATTTTGGCTAGTTCTGGAAATCAGATTCTCCTCTTCCCCAAGGTTTGTGGCTTATTGGGTTTTGTTATTGCTGTTGTTTTTTGTTTTTGTTTTGTTTTGTTTTTCGTTTTTTGTTTCTGAGACAGAGTCTCACTCTGTCGCCCAGGCTGAAGTGCGGTGGCACGATCTCAGCTCACTGCAACCTCCACCTCCTGGGTTCAAGCGATTCTTCTGCCTCAGCCTCTTGAGTAGCTGGGACTACAGGTGTGCACCACCATGCCTGCTAATTTTTTTGTATTTTTAGTAAAGACAGGGCTTCACCATATTGGCCAGGCTGGTCTCAAACTCCTGACCTCATGACCCGCCCACCTTGACCTCCCAAAGTGTTGGGATTTACAGGCGTGAGCCACTGCGCTCGCCCTGTTGTTGCTGTTCTTACTGTAGTAGGGTGACTTTGTGCCAGGCATTCACCCAAGGTGTAAATTTAATCTCTTCTTGGGTATTTTCTGAGCCTAAATCTTTCCCTGAACATATGTAGTGACTTTCTGAATTCCCTATATATGCAGCTGCTTTTTGATGTTCCATTGTTCAAATGTGGCTTCCAAAAGGGAAAAGAAGGAATAACGAAGGGGGCAGGAGATAACAGGCTCTGGGTCTTTAAATATTCTGAAACCTACTTCACATGGTGAGGTTGCAACAGTGGAACCTGCCTCTGTGTCTTCACCTCCATGATCAGAAGCAGCATTCAGAACATAGATCCCTGATATCTGGAAGACAAGGTCCTTATTCCCTTCTCTAACTTCCACAAGCTGTGTGCAAGCTGCACCAGGTACACATGCATGACTGACTCCCATGGAGCTGGGAAAAGGGGATGGTTAGCCACTACCATGCAAAGAGCTGAAATTGACCAAAATTCATTGCAATTTACTGTCCAAGCCTTCCTTTGGCAGCTGCAAACCTTTGAATAGACTCCAGAGCTCCAAAATAGTTACATCAAACAGATTCTGCCAGTGTAATTATCTAGATAGGGAGACAGAGTCCTATATTTCCCACGCTACCATCTTGCCTGATGTCATCCACATATATAGTTTTAAATTTTTTAGTAGCTTCTTTAAAAAGTGAAAAGGAACAGATAAATATTTTAACAATATATTTCACTTAAACCATTGTATTCAAAATATTATTTTAACATGTAACAATATAAAAATTGGTGATTTTTATACTAAATATTTCAAAATACATTTTGTATACCTAGAGAACATCTCAAAGATGCTAAATTTTCAATGACTAAAGTGAAATGTATCACTACCAAAACAATAATGTTGTGCTTCGCAGAAAAATATTTTATTCTGCTTTAGTTTCTAAATTAAAATTTAACAAAATTAAAAATTCAGTTCCTCAGTCTCAGTAGCCACCTGTGGCAGTGGCTGCTGTACTGGCAGCACGGCTATAAGCACCCACTTCCAAAATGGGATGTGTGAGGTAAGGTTTGATTTGGTTCTCTTGTTTGTTGTTGTTGTTGTCGTCGTTGTTCTTGTTGTTGTGGGGGCTGTGGGGGACGGAGTCTTTCTGTGTCCCGCAGGCTGGAGTACAGTTGCGTGATCTTGGCTCACTGCAACCTCTGCCTCCTAGGTTCAAGCAATTCTCGTGCCTCAGCCTCCCTAGTAGTTGGGATTACAGGCACCCGCCACCATGCCCAGCTAATTTTTTTGCGTATTTAGTAGAGACCAGGTTTCGCCATGTTGGCCAGACTGGTCTCCAACTCCTGACCTCAGGTGATCCGCCCGCCTCGGCCTCGCAGAGTGCTGGGATCACAGGCGTGAGCCACTGTGCCCGGCCGGGTTTACTGAAGGGCATTCTGTTCCTTCCTTTTTCAAAACGCGCACTGGATTAGGTGAGACGGTTCCCATGCAAAGAAGGCTTCAATCTGTAGAAGGCTGGGAAGTCGCTGTTAAAACAGAAGCCTCCACAGGGAATCCCTCCATCCCTCCTAAGACTAACCCTCGACATGTGGGTAAGTGGTTCTGTCTTCTAGGCCATAAGCTTCCAGCAGGGAGAGATGGGCGTGTGCACAGCCATTTTGTGCTCGTCTTCTGTTCTGGAAGCAGCAACATTTCATTTTCAGTCCAGCATAGAGCCTGCCACTTCCGGTAACAGCAGTGCTGGCAGCAGCCTCGGCTTCATTTTACAACCCTGAGAAGTTCTGCCCTGTTTGTGGGGATTCGTGCTGTGAACATCCATGCAGTAGAATTCCTGCTGCTTGCAGGAAGTTTTTAATAGAGCTGATTGAGCAAGACAAAGAGGACGTCTGAATTTTTTTAGGTTTTTAATTTTTCAAATTTAGTACAAGATGATAAGCCTCAGGAAATGCAGATTAAAACCGTGGTAAGAGGCCAGGCACAGTGGCTCATACCTGTAATCCCAGCATTTTGGGAGGCTGAGGCAGGCAGATTGCCTGAGCTCAGGAGTTTGAGAGCAGCCTGGCCAACATGGTGAAACCCCATCTCTACTAAAAATACAAAAAATTAGCCGGGCGTAGTGGCACGCGTCTGTAGTCCCAGCTACTGGGGAGGCTGAGGCAGGGGTTGCAGTGAGCGGAGATCTCACCACTGCACTCCAGCTGGGCAACAGAGTGAGGTTCTGTCTCCAAAACAAAACCATAAAATGATACTATTTTACAACCGTCAAATTGGTAAAAGAAAAAAAACTTGTCTTTGTCAACAGCCATCCAAGAGCCTGTAAGGATATGGACTAAAGCGAACCCTCATCCAGAACTAGTTGGACTGTAAATTAGTTCAGCCGCTTGGGAAAACAACTGGACATTATCAAATGAAGTCAAAGGTGCAGATCCTTCACTGAATGTACATACTGGAGAAACTGCATGTGATGGAGGAGTCACTCCCCAGGTTGCTCAGAGAGCACTGTTTGTAACAGCAAAAAGTCGGTTATGAACCCAAATGTTCATAACAGAAGAATGGATACATTGGATATATTCACATAATAAAATACTATACAGCTGTGAAAATCAATGAAGTTATGTCTATCAACATGGTGATGTCACATATACAAAGTACCACACAAATCAGGATGAATACATACACTGTGATTTCACTTACAAGATCAAAAAGAAGCTAAACTGGATAGCAGGCCAGGCGCGGTGGCTCATGCCTGTAATCCCAACACTTTGGGAGGCCGAGGTGGGCAGACAGCTTGAGGCCAGGAGTTCAAGACCAGCCTGGCCAACATGGTGAAATACTATCTCTAGAAAAAATTTTAAAATTAGCTGGGCATGGTGGTGTGCACCTGTAGTCCCAGGCGTTTGGAGGCTGAGTGAGGTAGGAGGATGACTTGAGCCCAGCAGGTCAAGGCTGCAGTGAGCCGTGACTCAGTCACTACACTCCAGCCTGGGCAACAGAGTGAAATCTCTGTCTCAAAAAAAAACAAAAACAAAAAAACCTCAACTTGATAGTGTATTGTTTGGGAATACATTCCTATGTGGTGAAACTATAAAGAGAAGCAAGGCAGCCTGCTTGTGGTGGCTCACACCTGTAATCCCAACACTTTGGGAGGCAGAGGTGGGAGGATTGCTTGAGGCCAGGAGTTCAAGACCAACCTGGGCAACAGAGCAAGACTCCTCGTCTACAAAAAAATTTTAAACATTAGCTGGGTGTGGTGGTGCACACCTGTAGTCCCAGCTACTCAGGAAGCTGAGGTGGAAGGACCTCTTGAGGCCAAGACTTAGAGGTTACGGTGAGCCATGATCACTTCACTGCACTCCAGCCTGGGCAACAGAGTGAGACCCTGTCTGTTAAAAAAAAAAAAAAAAAAGAGGCTGGGTGCAGTGGCTCACGCCTGTAATCCCAGCACTTTGGAGGCCAAGGCAGGCAGATCACGAGGTTGGGAGACGGAGACCATCCTGGCTAACACAGTGAAACCCTGTCTCTACTAAAAATAGAAAAAAAAAAAAATAGCTGGGCATGGTGGCGGGTGCCTGTAGTCCCAGCTACTCGGGAGGCTGAGGCAGGAGAATGGCGTGAACCCAGGAGGTGGAGCTTGCAGTGAGCAGAGATCATGACACTGCACTCCAGCCTGGGCAACAGAGCAAGACTCCATCTCAAAGAAAAAAAAAAGAGAGAAGTGAAGCACTGGTTAAGAGAAAACCCTTAGAGTGGTTACCTGTTTCCATGCTCTGAAGTTTGGTTGAAGTCACAGTGATCACTGCCATTCTGTATACCTTCCAACATACACAAATTTGGAAATCTGAACTATTTCATAACAGAAATGCCACCTAGCTTAGCTAAAAGGAATTATAGGAAATATACTTCTCTATAGACTCATGTGCATGCTCAATTAATTAGTCACATATTATATATCATGTAGGTGTTTAAAGAGCAATGTAAATAAAACATGGTCCCTGCCCCTCAAGAATGTGCCATCTAGCAGACTGAGAGGCTTGCCCATCTGTGGCACAATGTATCCTGACAGTCACAGCTGGCCTCCTCTGCAGGCATGAGGTATTCATTAGATTAGCTAGCATGAAGGCTCTGCCGTATTAAGGAAGTGTAATGGGGGGTGGCTTATAAGTGGGGGTGTCCGAGGAGTGGGCCTGACCAATTGGTAAACTGGATGATTAGTTTGAAATGGCAGGATTTCAAATACATGCTTCACCCATTGTGTAGTTTTGCTGAAATCAGTCCTGAATCTTAGGGGTTCTGTGGCAAGTAAAAGGCAGATATCATATCCTCGTTTTGCCACTGGAAGAATTGAGACATTTTCTGGCTTACTCTGGTCAGAAATCTTGGTGCATGGAAATATCCCAGAGGAACCCCAGTGGGTTTATACTTCGTTCTGTGTGTCCTGGTGTTTAACAAGCTGAGCGTGCTCAACCTCGGGAAGTGTAGGTCTCCTTGGGTGGCACTGGCTTCCAGGCCTGCGGGGAGCATCATTTTGGAGCCCATGCCAGTATTTTATGGGTAAATTTTTCATCCAGCATCCTACTCCCACCTACCCCAAACCCTCTTGATTCTGAGCAGCCATGGGCCAGGCCTTTGCACCTAACAGGTAACATTTTGATAGGTGTATTGCTGGACGGCTCAAGAGCACATGGATCTTTAAAAGGAAGCAAATCAGGGTAGCTGAGAAAAAAACACCAATTCCAGTGCTCAGTGGGAATTTATAGAATTCCTACTAAGGCATCTGCTCTATGGACTATTTTATCAGTCTGACTAACGGAAGGACCAAATACATCCTCACAGTTACTTGACATGATCTCTGCCCTTACTTGTTATTATTCTATTTTTATGGTTATTTTTATTAACAAGAAAACTATTGTTTCTAGTGAACTTAAGATGGCTAAATATCAAACCTAACAATTTAGGATGTTTTCCCAGAGTCTTCCAATCATTCCTCCAAAAAATGAGGGAGCATTTGATTCCTAACTTCCTCTTCTCCCTTCCCACGACAAGCCATAGAATTATAAGCACAGGCATAAATATCTTCCAGCTGATTAAATGGTGTCCTGCCAAAAGAAGATTTGTTTTGAGTGTAATTTTTTGGATGCTCTTCTAAAGGAGAATGATCTTTCTTTAGAGGCCTCCATGGAAACGCAGTATGACATTTTCCATTCTTTTAGAAAAGGGGAACAAAAGAACTATCTTCCTGTTGAAATCAAGAAATCGAGGGTCGGAGGATCCTAAGCTGTCCAGAACCCTATGACTGAGTCAGCTGATAATTCCTGTAAGAACTTGGCGTTTTCGAAGCCGCCGGACCGGATAAGTCCGGAGGTCCAAAGCAGCCCTCCAGATCAAGTCCTGCAGTGGAAGCACCTCCTCCCCTCCTCCCTCCAAATCAGGAAATGTGCTCAGAGCTAGGTTTGGGGATAATTTAAACAGACAGTCCTTGTTCCCTGCCCAGCACATTCCCGCCTGGTGGGAGCTGAAAGCCGCAGCAGGGAAGGGTCTGTCCCTCTGAGGGTCAGGAACATAACGGGGCTGCAGCGTTCGGTCCCTTTAGCTCTTCTGGGTGCCCTGCTTCTCCTGACCCTGGAACCCAACCCTGTGCTCCTGGAACTTACGTACCATTCCCTTCCTGTCAAATGTGAGCCTTCTGTGAAAAACAGTGCCTGGTTGAAGTTTCCCTGCGAAGCCTGCTTGTTTCAGACACTGAGATCTGCTAAGGGCCCAGATGGCAGGGTCTCTGACCAGCCTCCTGTCGTTGAAAAAGGCTGTCTTTTGTTGAGAGGATGCATTAAATCCTTCTCGGTGGGGTCAGCCCCAGTCCCTGCATAAATACGTCCTGTGGATTCGGTCTTGAAGGATGGGTGGATCCCAAAAGGAGGGCACCCTTCCTGAGCTCCAGAAGACGTTCCTCAGCTCTTTCCTGTACTATACACAGCTCTGGCTGCATAGACGCCATTCATCCTTTCCACTACTGCAGGCCAGCAGGCCCTGTGAGAAACGAGTGATGAACACGACCGTGTTTCTGCAGCACGTGCCTACCTGTGACTCCCAGAAACAGTAGCATCCGTGTACCTGGAGAGCAGCAGCCCCAGGGGGCATCTTCCCACGGCCACACCTCCAGCCTGGCCTTCCCTAAACCCCCTTCCACGCAGCCACCAGAGCGGTGGGTTTGATCACTGAGAGGCTAAATCTCTGTCATGTGACTGAACGACCTACTGACCATCTGTCATTATTTTAGGGAAATATTTGTTAAAAGGATTTTTTTATAAAGACAGGTGACTTTCCTAAATGCTCATGTAAATGAAATAAAGAGTTTTAAAAAATTACCACTCACAACCATAAATATCCTGTTCTGTTGTGTGTGTGTACCCACACATACGTATACAGATACACACAAGACATACACAATAAAACTGCAGTGTTATAAAGGTTCTCATAAATTGGAAATTGGCTTCTGTCCTCCACTCAGGCCCTGGCTAAAGCTCTTATCCTACTGGGAGGAGAGAAGACACAAAGGCGCTGGTGAGGTCAGGTGGCAAAAGGGAAGGCCCCACTGAGGCCCGGGGTGGAGAGGCACAAGTGGGACTCCACGTTCCCTCATCCTCCCGAACTCATGCCTTCAAACCCGGCTGTAAGATCCAAAATTGTCCCCATCACTATGCAAGCTGCTGCCAGTCTGCATAAGCCAGACCAGCTGGGGGCTCCCAGATGGACCCTCAGACTCAGGCCTCAGGCTTGACGGGCTGCCTGCAGCCTTTGCGTTGACCACTCGATAATGCAATCCTGCATCTTCTGTGATGGAAACTTTTAGTCCCACACTAGGATAGAAATATATACTATTTTTATTTTATTTCATTTATTTATTTTTGAGACAGAGCCTCACTCTGTCACCCAGACTGGAGTGCAGTGGCACCATGTCGGCTCACTACAAGCTCTGCCTCCCAGGCTCAAGTGATTCTCCTGCCTCAGCCTCCCGAGTAGCTGGGATTACAGGCACGCGCCACCACGCCTGGCTAATTTTTGTATTTTTAGTAGAGACAGGGTTTCACCATGTTGGCCAGGCTGGTCTCAAACTCCTGACCTCAAATGATCCACCAGCCTCAGCCTCCCGAAGTGCTAGGATTACAGGCGTGAGCCACTGCGCCTGGCCTGAACTATGTTTTTTAAATAGTAAAATGAACAGCAGTGTACCTCCCACCTATCTTAAAAAATGAAGTATTCCCTCTGCCTTTAAACCTGGTCCCCTGCCGCCCAAGTACATTCCCTTTCCCTCCCTGTAAACACTCACTCTCCTGAGTTGTGTGGAAAGCAGCCCCTTGCTTTTCTTTATGGGAGTGCCACATATGTGCATGTTCCTAAACAGGTTATTGTTGAGTTACTTGTTTTTGACCTTTAGATAATGAAATTGTACTGCATATATGCCCCTGTGACATGCTTCTGCCACTCAATTTTACGTTTGTGATACATACTCACCATGCCAATAAGTGTAATAATAGTCGTTCATTTCTTTTCACTATTCTCTGATAAAAAATAATTATCCTTTCCACTGTTGAAGGACATCAATTTCCAGT